CTATTGCCAAATGGACAACCTTGGATCCGTTTGGTTTGTTATTTTGGATAGGATTTTGAAAATAATGTTGGATAGTTGAATAGGGTGATTATTACGAGGTAAAATTTAAAAATTAACAAAAAAATCTCCTAGGTTTGCTAATTTAACTAAACACCCCAGTATATAAATTTTTTGTAAAATGACAAAAACACCTCCACCCACCCATAGTGCTAGATTTTGGCCACCACCGTCGGAATCTGGCGTTACGACGCAGATCGGTCGGATCTGGCATTTTCCAACCAAATCAACCATGGATCTGGCCGGAAAGGCCAGATCTGGCCGTTAACGGCCGCAAAAGACCAGATCTGATCGTCAACGACGGCCAAAGATATGGTCGTTGTTGTCGGTCAACAACGGCCAGATCGGCGAATTATCAGCCAGTTCCGGTTGTTTATAGGCCGTTGTGATATATTCCAGCTACCACTGACCGTGGTTGTCGAAATCTGACAACTATGGGTGGGTGGAGATGTTTTTGTTAATTTTTAAACTTTTTTTCTAGGGATGTTTAATTAAATTAAATTTAAAAAAATATAATAATATTTCTTAAATAATTAAACAAACAGTTATTTTAGGAATAGTGTTTGAAATAATAAACCAAACGACCCCTTATTATTTCTTTTATTTAAGTTTCTTATTATCAATCATATAATTTACTAGTACAATTTTGGACCTTTAGTATAATGAACTAAAATCCATGACTTGGACCATGCATATTATGAGTTAACTAGTACTATATTTAGAGTGGATCTATTGGTACTATACTAATGGACTAAAGAAGCCTCACTTTTTAATAAATTTTATAATGATAAATTTATCCATATAATAAACTATTAAAAATTGAGTTAATTACATAGACCTCCTTGACGTTTCAGCCTTTTACGGATAAATAGAAAAGATTATTAGGTTAACACATACACCCCACTCCTTTAACTTCCTTCAAAAATGGCTAACTAAGGGGGTAATTGTTGTTGTTGTTTTTTTTTTTTTTTTTTAATGTTGAGGGGGTAACTGTTGGTTTTTATGTTAATGGAAGGAGCTTAAGATAGACCTTATATGTTAAAATATCAAATCATATATAATATAAAAATATATAATTTTAGAAAGTTTTTTTTTTTTTTTTTTTTTTAATATACTTAAGATTTAGTCTTATTTTTTAAAGAATTTACTTTCTTTAAAAAAAAAAAAAAAAAAAAAAAAAAAAAAAAAAAAAGAGGTTTAGGGCGATTAGAGATCTCCGAAACCACCATTCTTAGATCATCAAAATTGAAGATCTTTTTTCTTTTAAAAAAAAATTATTATTGAATCTCAATTTAAAAAAACATATATTTTAAAAAGTATATTTTAATTTTTTTTTCAGTCTTTATATTTTTACTTTGCAAAATATTTTAATTTTCAGTTTTTTGCCTTTCTCTCAATTAGTTTAACCTCAAAACTTAACGGTAGAAGGAGTAAGTAACAAATTATAAGGGGTAATTTGCCAAATTTTTACGTTGAAGGAGGTGTAATGGAAATAACCCTAAAGGAAGTTAAAGAAACGAGGCATTTGTGTTAACCTAAATATTTTTTCTATGCACATGCGAAATGTTGAAACCTCATGAGAGGACTGTGTAATTAATTCTTAAAAAATTTCCAATTCTTTACAGCTACTTTTGACACCCTATTATTATCTCATAAACCTTATTTTTTTGTATGCTATTCAAATTATTCTTAGAATAAAAGGATAATTTAATGGAAGAAGAAGATTTGTAATAGGATATATTATTATCTCATAAGCCCTTTTTTTTATTATTCTATTTAAATTATTTTTAGAACAAAATGATATTTTAATGGATGAAGAAAATTTGTAGTAAGATATATTAGGTTACAAATAATACAAAATTGGAAGTTTTTAATCGTTTTACATATGAATTTATTGTTTTTTTTTAATTCAAAGTATTGGTAGCTATTGTAATATATATATAATGCATTTATGGAATTTATAGGCTGCCATAAGAAAACAATCATTTTTTGTAAAATTAAAATCAACAAACGAAACTATAATAACATGATTTTTTTAGCAAAATGATACCAATAGAACCCTTTCATGAGTAGGTTTGTCATATTACAGATTTTTCAGTAGTTTATTAGTAAAAACTTCAGAAGTTTTTTTGGAATTTATTTAGTCGTGGATATGATATTTTGCTTGCGGATTCAAGAAGCCTATTGGGAGGATTCAAGAAGCCCTTATAAATTGGGATAGAGTTATTGTTTGGATTCAAGCTCCGTTCATGATTTGAGCTTGGTTCATGGATTCAAGATTCAAATCATAGAGTATATCTAATGCTTATCTTAATTTTGTTGTGTTAACTCACCTAAAACAACTATATATAAGGTGTATTATATATATATATATATATATTAACTTGAAGAAAAGTTTCATTTGTATCAATAAACATATGTTTTTATTATTTAACAAACATGTGCTTTTTAATATATATTGATTTCAAAATTTGCACCAAACACCAAGGTTCTGAAACCCGGACCGGACCGGACGGTCGAACTGGTCGGAACGCCACCCGCTTGCATTTCCGGTTTAAAGAGAGCAAATAACCGGGATTTGCCATTAAACCGTTTCAAACCGTGGTTGGACCGTCGTACTGTAGCAAACCGACGGTCCAACCGTTATTTAACAAATTTTCGGTCCACACATTTCCGGTTTAACACATGAAATAAAAAAAAAATTTAAAAATTCAAAACAATCACATGCGCACACATAAAAGTCAAACTGTCAAACTTAAACCAAACCCTCAAAATTTTTATTAAAAAACACATTTTTAATTTGCTTTTGAGCTACAGATACACTGATATAGAGCCGTCTCCCTTCTTTAACTTTTCACTTTTTCATCTGGTTTGTCGTTTGCTATTGCCATTCACGATCTCCTCCACTCTCCAGTCTAGTCCTCCTCTTCGTGTCCTGCATTCGAGATCTCAGGAGTCAGATCTCCTTCAAGCTTTCAGCTAAGCTTCAGCGCCTCACGTCTTCACTCTTCAGTCTTCAAGTCTTCGGTCTGCAGTCTGCTCTACTCTGCTTCAGCGCTTCATTCTTCAACTTCCAGTCTTCTAGTCTTCAACGTGAACTCTTCAATCATCACCATCTCCATGGCTGATCTGCCGGATAAGTCATTTCAGCTCAGATTTCAGCTTCAACCTTCACATCTGTTGCCGTCTGCCGCCATCTACGAGCTGCCATATGCCACCGGTCGTAGCTGCCGTCTGCCAGCTTCAACCTCTGATGTTAGGAAAGGTTGTATCGTTTTTTTGTTATTCTATGCTGTGGGTTTGTGATTTGATTACGATTATTAATTGTGGGTTGTTATTTGGTTTTATGGAAAATATCCAACTATTGTAAGGAAAGTGGTAGAGATGAAGATTTTTCAGTAGAAGCTTTTCCATGGAAGAGACAAGACGAAGGATAGTGAAGATGGGTGGCGTTATTTTGAATGATTTGTGATTAATTATTAATTAATATTTTTTATTAATTAAATATTTTCATTAATTTTGCTAGTAGTTGTTGATTTGGAATTAATGGTCTTTTAAAGAATATATTTATTGATTTTGTTTAGTTATTATTTTAATAATACAAAAACTATGGGCAGTTTACTCATTGTAATGTCTGAACCAGTGCCAAATACTCAAATGTCAGGACGCATTAACAAACATTAACGCAGGGTAGAATGTTGATAGTTTCCAAAACCAGGGGTGCTGATTGTAGATATGCAGCTTCAACCAGTATACTGACGTCACTGGTCAGTCGGACCGGTCAAACCGTTCGAATCGAGAACCGGCCATTTGGCCGGGTCGGCTCCCGGTCCGGTTTTCAGAACATTGCCAAACACAAGATTACAATCTTGCCTTTCTGACCTTCCCGTTCTACCCTTGGATTAGGGTTTCTAGAGTCTTCCTTGATTGCAACGTTGCTTCCTTCATAAATACAAAGTTGTTGCGAAATAATAGGGTTAGAAAAGAATATAGGTTGTTATCAGGTTTCATTTGGGATGCTCTAATATGAGATTTTTTTTTTTGTTGTATAACATCCTTTTATAGTGAAATAGAAAGAGTTTTAGGAAAATACTTCCCTTGATGGTAATGAAGTTAGATATGGTATGAAATTAAGAGGGGGAAAAGAGTTGTAGAAGAATTTCAGGGAATAAGGGTCCCATTTTAAGCCAGCCACAAAATGACCAATTATGTGTATCCATTTGTTTAAAGGGGTATTTGTCTGAGTTTATGAAAATTAACTTATAAGCATTTGAAATTTTAAGCAATTATGTGTTTGGTTAAATTACTTATAAGGGACTGATAAGTAGTTGATGTGTTTAGTAAAATGTGGCTTATAAGTACATTTTATTATAAAATGACTAAAAAGGGTACTACATTAAACAATGGTATATTATGGAATTTTAAAATTAAACAAGGATAATGTAGTAATATACTTGGTCAAACTAACTTGTAAGCAAAAAAAAAAAAAAAAAAAAAAAAACCCTTAACTTATTTTTTTTGGCTTATAAGCTCAACTTATAAGCTAAAAAAAGTTATAAACAAATATGTCAGCTTAATTTTAGAACTTATAAACTAGTTTGATCAGCTTATAAGCTTAGACAAACACCCCCTAAATAAAGTCGTAAGAAATAGAGTTTGAGTGATATTTATGTAACCAACACTTGTCCGCCAACTTGACCAATGGCAATGTGACCTTATGATGAATGTTGAATGAAATTGAAGATTTGTTGCTCAATAAATCATATCTAAGAAAATTAATGATTAAAACAAAGAATCAATTAAAAAGCAAGTGCCGAAATATGCACATCAAATAAATGGTCCTTCTCGTAACCTAACCATTCCGAGAAAACTCCCCACCACCAAAAACACATAAAAATTAAAAAATTAAAAAGAGAAGATTTAAGATTTAGATCTCAAGAACAGTATAAATGAGCCAAATGGCCCAAATCTCTTCCCCTATAAAAGGAGTGTCCATCTCCATATCTCTCACAACTCGCTCTACTTTCTCCTTTTCCCCTTCATTACTCCGCTTCACTTCTCACACGGCTCGTTTCTCTTTCAGGTTATATCCTATTTCTTTATTGAAAAACTACATATAATTTCATTCATTTCTTATAATTTTGATTTTGTTGATAGATCTATAAGAGCAATGGCCTCCCATATTGTTGGGTACCCTCGTATGGGGCCAAAGAGAGAGTTGAAGTTTGCGTTAGAATCGTTCTGGGACGGCAAGAGCACCGCCGATGATTTGCACAAGGTTGCGGCTGATCTCAGATCGTCCATTTGGAAACAAATGGCGAATGTCGGAATTAAATTCATCCCCAGTAACACATTTTCATACTACGATCAAGTTTTGGATACCACTGCTATGTTGGGCGCTGTTCCTTCCAGATATAATTGGAATGGTGGTGAGATTGGTTTCGATGTCTATTTTTCAATGGCAAGGGGTAATGCTTCTGTTCCAGCTATGGAAATGACCAAGTGGTTTGATACCAACTAGTAAGTAGTGAAACTAATAATTTTTTTCCCCAAAATTTATTGTTTTCTGGGTAAATTTTTCATGTGTTTATGGTTGGTTTGTGTAGCCATTATATTGTGCCTGAATTGGGACCGGAAATCAAGTTTTCATATGCTTCTCACAAGGCTGTCACTGAATATCAGGAGGCCAAAGCCGTAAGCTTGCTTAGATACCATTGATATTGTATTATTACATGATTGAGAATTGAATAGTATAACATAGGTAATCTTTATCCACTCACCGAATACAAACTTTGTTTCCGATTCAATTAAAAAAAATCCTTTGGTTTATACTTTAACCACTTTATTTTTTTTTATCATTCTTTGCTCTGTCTGTTCTATAATCTACTGCCTTCCTTGTACAACCATGTTACTGCTTTTGACTTTCATTATTTATATTTAAAAATGGTTTACAAATAAACCCAATAAAAAAAAAAAAAATAGAAAAAAAGTTGAAAAGAGTTAATGTTTTTTAATGATCTAATTTTCTTGAAAAAAGTGTGATAAAAGATGAGTCCCAGTACTGTTACATAATTGTATACTAAAAAATGATCAAATACATATAAATTGAAAGTCCAATTATAGTTTTGTTAAATCAAAATGAAAGTTTTCGTTTCTGGGGTATGCATAAACTCAACTAAATGAAATATACAAGGGTTCATATTAATGGTTAATTGCTTGAAGCATGAGAATTAACAACAATACTTTTGAACTTGATGATATTGCTCTAATTGAATAACCTTTGTAAATTAAGTGTAATGATCAACTGTTGGATTGCATCACTTAGATTTTCATTCTGAGTGCTTTGACCTTTAATTAAGGGATTTTTCTTGACAGTATATATCAAATGATTAATGGTGTTTTGAGTTATATAAATATCTCTACTTAATATTCTATGCATTTCTTGATTCAATAAGTTTCTTTTTGTTTGCTTTTTCTGCTGCAGCTTGGAGTTGATACAGTTCCTGTCCTGGTAGGCCCTGTCTCATACTTGTTGCTGTCTAAACCGGCAAAGGGTGTGGAGAAATCATTTTCTCTTCTTTCCCTTATTAGCAAGATTCTTCCTGTCTACAAGTAAGTCATGTGAGAAAAATGTTTATCAGTGTTTAGATATGCTTGATTTGAGTCAGCATGGCCATTTTGCCTAGTAGGCATTTCTTTCTTTGATTGATCCATATGAATTATATTACCTGGCAGGGAGGTTGTGGCTGAGGTGAAGGCTGCTGGGGCTACCTGGATTCAGTTTGATGAGCCAACTCTTGTGATGGATCTTGATTCTCATCAATTAGAAGCATTTACTAATGCTTACTTTGAGCTGGAGTCATCTCTGTCTGGTTTGAATGTCTTAATTGAGACATACTTTGCTGATGTTACTCCTGAGGCATACAAAACTCTCAACTCGTTGAAGGGTGTCACTGGGTACGGGTTTGACCTGGTTCGTGGAACAAAGACACTTGAATTAGTAAAAGGTGGATTTCCTTTGGACAAATATCTCTTTGCTGGATTGGTTGATGGTAGGAACATTTGGGCTAATGATCTTGCTTCTTCCCTCACTACCCTGCAGACTCTTGAGGGCATTGTCGGAAAGGGTATTTTCTCTTGCACTCATTTACTATTGCAATTATGATTTATTTTTCCTTAATGGTTTTAATAATTCTAGCTATTTGGTTCTGCAGATAAGCTTGTAGTCTCAACATCCTGCTCACTACTCCACACAGCAGTTGATCTAGTGAATGAAACTAAGTTGGATGATGAGATCAAGTCCTGGCTGGCATTTGCAGCGCAGAAAATAGTTGAAGTAAATGCTCTGGCCATTTTGATAATATCCGCTACCACTGACCGGGGTTTTCGAAATCTGACAACTGGTGGGTGGAGATTTTTTTGTTAATTTTTAAACTTTTTTCTAGGGATGTTTAATTAATTAAATTTAAAAAATATATAATATTTCTTAAATAATTAAACAACAGTTATTTTAGGAATAGTGTTTGAAATAATAACCAAACGACCCCTTATTATTTCTTTTATTTAAGTTTCTTATTATCAATCTATAATTTACTAGTACAATTTTGGACCTTTAGTATAATGAACTAAAATCCATGACTTGGACCATGCATATTATGAGTTACTAGTACTATATTTAGAGTGGATCTATTGTACTATACAATGACTAAAGAAGCCTCACTTTTTAATTTTATAATGTAAATTTATCCATATAATAAACTATTAAAAATTGAGTTAATTACATAGACTCCTTGACGTTTCAGCCTTTTACGGATAATAGAAAAGATTATTAGGTTAACACATACACCCCACTCCTTTACCTTCCTTCAAATGCTAACTAAGGGGTAATTGTTGTTGTTGTTTTTTTTTTTTTTTAATGTTAGAGGGGGTAACTGTTGGTTTTTTATGTTAATGGAAGGAAGCTTAAGATAGACCTTATATGTTAAAATATCAAATCATATATTAAATATAAAAAATAATATAAAAATTTAGAAAGTTTTTTTTTTTTTTTTTTTTTTAATATACTTAAATTTAGTCTATTTTTTTAAAGATTTACTTTCTTTAAAAAAAAAAAAAAAAAAAAAAAAAAAAAAAAGAGTTTAGGCGTTAGAGATCTCCGAAACCACCATTCTTAGATCACAAAATTGAAGATCTTTTTTCTTTTAAAAAAATTATTATTGAATCTCAATTTAAAAAAACATATATTTTAAAAAGTATATTTTAATTTTTTTTTCAGTCTTTATATTTTTACTTTGCAAAATATTTTAATTTTCAGTTTTTTGCCTTTCTCTCAATTAGTTTAACCTCAAACTTAACGGTAGAAGGAGTAAGTAACAAATTATAGGGTAATTTGCCAATTTTTACTTTGAAGGAGGGTGTAATGGAAATAACCCTAAAGGAAGTTAAAGAAACGAGGCATTTGTGTTAACCTAAATATTTTTTCTATGCACATGCGAATGTTGAAACCTCATGGGAGGCTGTGTAATTAATTCTTAAAAAATTTCCAATTCTTTACAGCTACTTTTGACCCCCTATTATTATCTCATAAACCTTATTTTTTTGTATGCTATTCAAATTATCTCTTAGAATAAAAGGATAATTTAATGGAAGAAGAAGATTTGTAATAGGATATATTATTCTCATAAGCCCTTTTTTATTATTCTATTAAATTATTTTAGAACAAAATGATATTTTAATGGATGAAGAAAATTTGTAGTAAGATATATTAGGTTCAAATAATACAAAATTGGAAGTTTTTAATGGTTTTCATATGAATTTATTGTTTTTTTTTTATTCAAAGTATTGGTAGCTATTGTAATTATATATGCATTTATGGAATTTATAGCCTGCCATAAGAAAACAATCATTTTTTGTAAAATTAAAATCAACAAACGAAACTAAATAACATGATTTTTTAGCAAAATGATACCAACAGAACCCTTTCATGAATAGGTTTGTCATATTACAGATTTTTCAGTATTTATTAGTAAAAACTTCAGAAGTTTTTGGAATTTATTTAGTCGTGGATATGATTTTTGCTTGCGGATTCAAGAAGCCTATTGGAGGATTCAAGAAGCCCTTATAAATTGGGATAGAGTTATTGTTTGGATTCAAGCTCCGTTCTGATTTGAGCTTGGTTCATGGATTCAAGATTCAAATCATAGAGTATATCTAATGCTTATCTTAATTTTGTTGTGTTAACTCACCTAAAAACTATATATAGGTTGTATTATATAATTAATATATATTAACTTGAGAAAAGTTTCATTTGTATCAATAAACATATGTTTTTATTATTTAACAAACATGTGCTTTTTAATATTATTGATTTCAAATTTGCACCAAACCCCAAGGTTCTGAAACCCGGACCGGACCGGACGGTCGAACTGGTCGGAACGCCACCCGCTTGCATTTCCGGTTTAAAGAGAGCAAATAACCGGGATTTGCCATTAAACCGTTTCAAACCGTGGTTGGACCTCGTACTGTAGCAAACCGACGGTCCAACCGTTATTTAACAATTTTCGGTCCACACATTTCCGGTTTAACACATGAAATAAAAAAAAAATTTAAAAATTCAAAACAATCACATCGCACACATAAAGTCAAACTGTCAAACTTAACCCAACCTCAAATTTTTTAAAAAACACATTTTTAATTTGCTTTGGAGCTACAGATACACTGATATAGAGCCGTCTCCCTTCTTTAACTTTTCACTTTTTCATCTGGTTTGTCGTTTGCTAGGCCATTCACGATCTCCTCCACTCTCCAGTCTAGTCCTCCTCTTCGTGTCCTGCATTCGAGATCTCAGGAGTCAGATCTCCTTCAAGCTTTCAGCTAAGCTTCAGCGCCTCACGTCTTCACTCTTCATCTTCAAGTCTTCGGTCTGCAGTCTGCTCTACCTGCTTCAGCGCTTCATTCTCTCAACTTCCAGTCTTCTAGTCTTCAACGTGAACTCTCAATCATCCACATCTCCAGGCTGATCTGCCGGATAAGTCATTTCAGCTCAGATTTCAGCTTCAACCTTCACATCTGTTGCCGTCTGCCGCCATCTACTGTGCCATATGCCACCGGTCGTAGCTGCCGCTGCCAGCTTCAACCTCTGATTTTAGGAAAGGTTTGTATCGTTTTTTTTATTCTATGCTGTGGGTTTGTGATTTGATTACGTTATTAATTGTGTGTTATTTGGTTTTATGGAAAATATCCAACTATTGTAAGGAAAGTGGTAGAGATGAGATTTTTCAGTAAAGCTTTTCCATGGAAGAGCAAGACGAAGGATATGAAATGGTGGCGTTATTTTGAATGATTTGTGATTAATTATTAATTAATATTTTTTATTAATTAAATATTTTCATTAATTTTGCTAGTAGTTGTTGATTTGGAATTATGGTCTTTTAAAGAATATTTATGATTTTGTTTAGTTATTATTTTAATAATACAAAAACTATGGGCAGTTTACTCATTGTAATGTCTGAACCATTGCCAAATACTCAAATGTCAGACGCATTAACAAACATTAACGCGGGTAGAATGTTGATTTTTCCAAAACCAGGGGTGCTGATTGTAGATATCAGCTTCAACCAGTATACTGACGTCACTGGTCAGTCGGACCGGTCAAACTTCGAATCGAGAACCGCCATTTGGCCGGGTCGGCTCCCGGTCCGGTTTTCAGAACATTGCCAAACACAAGATTACAATCTTGCCTTTCTGACCTTCCCGTTCTACCCTTGGATTAGGGTTTCTAAGTCTTCCTTGATTGCAACGTTGCTCCTTCATAAATACAAGTTGTTGCGAAATAATAGGGTTAAAAAGAATATAGGTTGTTATCAGGTTTCATTTGGGATGCTCTAATTGAGATTTTTTTTTTTGTTGTATACACTCCTTTTATAGTGAAATAGAAAGAGTTTTAGGAAATACTTCCCTTGATGGTAATGAAGTATATTGGTATGAAATTAGAGGGGAAAAGAGTTGTAGAAGATTTTCAGGAATAAGGGTCCCATTTTAAGCCAGCCACAAAATGACCAATTATGTGTATCCATTTGTTTAAAGGGTATTTGTCTGAGTTTATGAAAATTAACTTATAACATTTGAAATTTTAGCAATTATGTGTTTGGTTAAATTACTTATAAGGACTGATAATTAGTTGATGTGTTTAGTAAAATGTGGCTTATATTACATTTTATTATAAAATGACTAAAAAGGGTACTACATTAAACAATGGTATATTATGGAATTTTAAAATTACAAGGATAATGTAGTAATATACTTGGTCAAACTAACTTGTAAGCAAAAAAAAAAAAAAAAAAAAAAAAAAAAAAACCCTTAACTTATTTTTTTTGGCTTATGCTCAACTTATAAGCTAAAAAAAGTTATAAACAAAATGTCGCTTATTTTAAACTATAAACTAGTTTGATCAGCTTATAAGCTTAGACAAACCCCCCCTAAATAAAGTCGTAAGAAATAGAGTTTGAGTGTATTTATGTAACCAACACTTGTCCGCCAACTTGACCAATGGCAATGTGACCTTATGATGAATGTTGAATGAAATTGAAGATTTGTTGCTCAATAAATCATATCTAAGAAAATTAATGATTAAAACAAAGAATCAATTAAAAGCAAGTGCCGAAATATGCACATCAATAAATGGTCCTTCTCCTAACCTAACCAAAAAACCAAAACAATCAATAGGCCGCCAATTTGGGGGATATGGGCTTCGAGGGTATCGGGGAGTGGGTGTTTTTGGCCTCGAGAGGACCGGGGAAGCCAATGCAAGCCCTACAAAGGCAATTGTGGCATATTCCATGAGGTTGGAGGGCTGCCCTGCAATAGCGTGCGCACAGCTATGCGTGGCCAGCCCTACAATATGCAGGGCAGCCCTTTAGCCCCCCTATTCCGCCACCTCCTGCCATCCCCAACCCTCCAACCTCCCACAAACAACCTCCCTACGGCCTCCCTTACCTTCCCCCATCCTCTGGAACCCAAACAAAGTCACTCCCCCGATGCCCGCCAATTGCTCGACAAGACTCCACAACCACCATAACAATAAAACCAACTACATATTCCCAAAATTTCTCATCAAATTCAAAACAACAAGTAAAAAATGTACCCTTTCTTCACCGGTGTCCTCCTCTTCAGAACCGCTTTCCGATTCTTCTCTTTATTCTTGTGTCGTCGTTGTCTCCTCTGCCTCTGGACCACTTCACTCATCGGATGATCCACCGAAGCGTCTTATTGGATAGCCTTTGAGCTGCCGTCACCGCCGAAGTCTAGGATTTGGAGTAGGGTTAGGTTTTCCTCCTCTTTGTGAATATCAGTC